TGCACCGGCTCGGGTCCCTGCAAATAGTTGCTGAAATCAGGGCCGCGAGCCCGAGCAGCAGGGTCCATAAAGAGCGATCGGGCGACAGCCGCTCTTACCTCCGTGAGGTGCAGGAGCAGAGCCGCTCCTTTCTCCTGCGTCACCTTCGAGCCCGTCCCCACAGTGAGTCCTGTTTTAGTCCTAGTTCAGTTCTGGTTTAGTCCTGGTTCAGCTCTGGTTTAGACCTGGTTTAGTCCTGGTTCAGTCCATATACAGCGCAAAAGTTATTTTGGTGAGAGTAACTTAAAGTAATGCAATAGTAATGTAATGCCTTACATTTTAAATGCAGTAATATTGTAATGTAACAAATTACTTTGAAATGACAGTAATAGGTAATAAATAACACATTACAGTTTCAAAGTAACTTGCCCAACAGTGGTTGTAAAGAACTTTGAGGTGGAAAAGCGCCGTATAAAAATGTGTTTACTAATAAATCAGCTTGACCAGTGTTGACTGTAAAATCAATATCTGATTGTTAAAGCAACACCGTGGAACTTTCTGGAGGTGGCACATCATCTACAGGATTCCAAAGTAAAAGAAAAGTGTTAAAACCAAACTTCGGAATATTCTCCATGCAGTTAGGTACTTTTCTCGACATTTACTTAGAGCTGAACGATTTTAAGAAAAAAATTGAATTGCGATTTTTCTGGCAGATGTTGCGAGTTCGATTTCATCCGCGATTTTTTTCAAATTAAGTTTCACTGCGCATGAACATTTGCAAACATCACAGGAAATTACATCACACCAGAGTCCTGACGCTGGACCGTAAATTGGGCGTCAAATCGTCTGCGTCACGATGAATTTTTAATTTTTTTTCCACTAATTTACAAATATAGGTGTGGTGATGATAAAATTCAGAGAGATGCATGTTTACCTTAGGATCCTGGACTGTGTAGTATGAATGCTGCTGTCTGTGTGTTGTGTGAATGTCGTCTTAGTCTGTTTGTCTTTCGTTCTGTTTTGATTTGTCTTTTCTTTCTCTTCTGTAAATGCTGCTTTTGTTCATGTATTAGGACCCCCTCGCAAACGAGACGCTACAGCTCAAGGGGTTTCCTTATAAATAAGAAAATAAGAGAGTCTGCATCGACGTGAAACCCCTACGTGTCGACCGACGTGCACTTCTGACAATTTTCTACGCTCAAAACGACGCAGAAAACAGGGGAAGTAACACGGGAAATAAGAGCTGTGATTGGTCGTCTCTGCCATCGCTCTAACATTTCCTGTACTCCACTTTTCATTCTTTCAAAATCAACTGAGTAATAATGTGTTTAATGCAGCTTTGTGCTCATTTGCTTATGTTTTATGGAAATGAAACCACTCATTTGCATAAACTATAAGCACTGAAAAAAACAGCTCTCTCTTTGTGCTCTGATGTGGTTCAGCTTCTGTCGGACTAACGGACACGACTCAGTGGAATATGAGTTTTCTCTCTGTGACAGAGGATGTGCTGATGATGCTGAGTGGTTGGAGGATTCATGTCTTGCTCCTCCAATCCCCTTCCTGATCTGTCAACCTCTCATTCAATAAAAGTGTTAAGCACCTTGAAGGCTATAGCAAGAAATAAAGTATCGTGAGTTTACTACATGCATATACTAAATACTGAAATTATATATTTGGGCCCAGTCAAGCAGAAGTAAACATCAAGGCCAAAAATTCAAGTTAATGCATCTGATATAAAAATGTATTGAACAGATACATATGTACTCTAGTTTATCAAACTGTTGACCTTTTTTCTGTTCCATTTTTGGTTCTAAAGTTCCATATGTTTTAAACAGACCATGTATGAAACATGGAACAAAAATTATTTCCCAAATTTCAAAGACCCAAAAATCATGTAAATAAATGGATGTATTTCATCATATCTTGTGTTATTCCATCTTTGAACTGTTGATGAAGGCACATGATTTAAAAAAAAAAAAAGTATTTAAAATGATAAAAATGTTCTTGGAAGGACTGACATATTTTATAGAAATAGTTTCCTTTCATTTCGAAGTAATAAAAGTATTTAAAGTATTCAGAAGAAAAAAGCGACAAATGATGTAAAATCCTGCACCTTCTACTTGTTTGTACAATTTTCCCTCCGTTACTTTTCCCTCCGTTACCATGACCTTTCTTAATAAAAAACCTCATGAGTCAAAAAGTCAGAGGTTTTTCAACCTAATCTTGTACCATATGGTAGAAAACTATATGAAGCAAATATTCAAACCAGTTTGTTAAGGATATGTAAGTGAGAACCAAGAGTTATCACTGTTTGGATTTATTGACCAAAAAGTGCTGCATATTTCATTCCCTCCGTTACCGACATGAGTTTTTAAATTTTTTGTCTTGAACTTGAAAGAATCTCACAGGTTTAACTTGACCCTGTTGGAGTGTAACTCTTTCCTACATTCTGATACTTTACTTATTTCAATAGTTCCTCTAGTTTCTGAATAAGAGACATTTGAATGTCAAAAATCTGACCCTGTTTCCCTCCGTTAACACTTGACCTGGACCCATTTGTTTGAATATTACACAATGAGTTAATGCTTAACCACTGAAATCTGATATATGTGTTAAAAGATACTGCTGTGAAAGTTGTGTCCTTTTAAGGAAATTTTTAAAGTGGAGTCTGCAGTGAACTGAAGGGGGGTCATCCTGGCACAAAGCCTAAACAGACCTGGTTATAAGTGGTCATCCCTTTATGGTAAAAGACAGAGATGCTTAAAGGAGGATCCAAGGCGTGAACCTGATCAACATATATTTGCATATTCATGTTGTTGTTTTATATTTCTGGGTTGAGGTAAACCTGATGTAAGTCCTGTGTAGCTGTAGGCCGTCAGGGACAGTGATTGGACTGACTCTGTATTCGAACGGTATTGAATAGGGAATACAGTTTTGTGATTTTAATCAATCGACTCCAGTCATTATTTCAGTGTAATTTCTTGATAGAAAACGCCAACAGCCTGTTCCTCCTCGTGGCTGGATTTCAGTTTTGTGTCTTTGTTGCCTCCCATTGCGACTGTGAACTGTGTGTTGAGGCTCCAGGGACTGACCCATCGTTTGTTTGTAATTTCCAGTTTGGCTCGACCCTTTGGCATTTGTATTTTCTTTTATTTATCGTATCCCATTAGTTATTGTTTAGTTATATTGGGCATTTCTAATTTATCAAATGTAAAACACCCTTTTTTTTGTTATTGTACTTACTTCACTTTATTAAAGCCACTTACTTTACATCACATCTTGTTTGTGTTACTTTCCTTTGTCCTTGGCTCTGGTTTGTGACAGAGATGGTTAAACTTTACACGATCGACAGGTTTAAATCCTCGTCTCCTCGCGCTGTGGTGGTGAATTACTTTGCGGTGCATGGACCTTGACACAGACCCATAAATAAAAAACAATAGCGACAAGGCGGCGGTGGCAGTGAGTCGACACAGAACTAAACTTCGTCCTTAAAGGTTGTATGGAGGATTTTTTTTTTTTAATTTTTTTCAAGTTGTCAGTGATAGATTATAGATGCAGTAGCCTTGTAATTATGATGACCAAAAAAAAAGAGAATAAAAAATTCATCAACTCTGGACGTGGTGGGGCTAAACATTTGCCAATAGATAACGACACTGCCTCGTTATCTGTGAGCTGACAGGCTGTCAATCAAACTCCCTACGTTTCTAGTGTAACTGACTTGCCTGCGCCGCCGGTACGTGGTTTACGTACGACTGTCACACAGTCCACAGACGCAAGACGCACAGACGCTGTTTACTCCACCAACGCAACAGTTCTTAGCGGCTTTTTTTGACCTATATCTTCCTCGCAGTTCGCACAAAGTTTGTTGCAATGGCGACAAGAATCCAGGAGCAGTTCGCCGCAAAAGAAAGTCTGTTTTTGAGGTCGCTGAAAGAAGAAGACAAGGGGAAAAGCAGCGAAGCCAAACTAAGGTGATTCTTGAGATTCATTCCAGCGATGGCGCGACTGAAGCAGACGCAGGGTCTAAAGACTGAACCACTGGTCCACAAATTACTCCTGGACAGGAAACTTCTGCTTATTATGAAAACGTACTTTATTTCCAAGAGTACACAAACGTTTTTCAGGACACAAATGCGATATCCTATGTCTGAAAACGTAATTTTCAAGGCAAAGAAAGAGTCCACTTGCTGCTGCGTGTTGTAGTTAGTTTCATTCGCACTGAATCTCCGCGCAACCTTCTCTGCACCCCTTTCCTGCTCCTGTCCCCACTGCCCGATCCACTCTTCCCCTGCTCCTCCTTCTCCGGGCACAGAATCTCGCTCACCGCTCCTCTCTCCTCTCCTCTCTCCCGCTCCTCACTTCTCGTCCTGCGAACGAAATGTCCGCACACCCGCTCCCCCCGCTCCTCACTTCTCCGTCTTGTCTAACCAACACTTGTAGTTAGTTGTTTACAAGTCATGTGCAGCACGGCTGTAAACAAACCTGTTTTCTGGCGTAAGGAGGAGGCGGGAGGAGGCGTTTCTACGTAGGAGCTGTGGGGAGGGGGGGGGTTTCACGCATGCGCAACATTTAAAAAAAGGACAAACAGTCGCTGGATTTCTCCTTCCTTGGAAAATCCTCTATACAACCTTTAAATTGGGCTTTGGGAGAACTGCAAAAAAACGAGGCTTTGACGCTCCCAAAAATTGCGATTTTCGGTCCAAAACGATGGTTCAGCCCCTTACATATACTGTGGAATATTACAGCCAAAGGAACAACATCTCCATGGAAACAAGCAGCAGAAGACCTTCCTCCAGGGCAAGTAAGAGTCAGGTTTGTGTTTCTACTTTCTACCGTTTTCAGTGCAATAAAAACATCTAAAATTAATGTCTATTTTTTGGTTGAGAAGTTACACAGTGGGGCTTGAATGTTTAATTCATATCCGGGGTCACGTTCATAAAATATTTAAACCCCCACCTAGATGTTTTAGTTTTATTTTAGTGCAAACACGGCCCAGCTCAGAGGAAAAGCGTTAAACCGACCTGTATGTCGATCTCCACGTTGAAGGCCTCGGTCTGACTGTGGCCGTTGCTGATGTAGAAACTGAAGATGTCTTTTTTCTCTTGAGTTTTGTGCTTTTTGTCCTGGACGTAGAAGATGCGTTCGTGAACCAGGTCGTCCACGGAAAAAGGAACGTCGGGAGTGATGACCCTGGAACCCCCGACTGAACCTCCTGAAAAACAAGGCAAAAAAAATAAAAAAATTAGGTTTAAAGGTTCAGTATTAAACAAAAAGAACTTTCATGAGCTTTAAAGTTGAGATGTTTCATAATCCGTGTGTCATTCGTTCATTAGTTTTTCAAAATAAAATCAAAAATATTATTTGTCTCCAAAACCAAAATGAAAAAAACAGATAATGATTCATTTTTTCAGTTTTCAATTTTGTGTTTAAATGAAAAATGGAAAAAAACAAACAGATGACGGCCTGAACCAGGACTAAACTAGTTCTAAACCAGAACTAAACCGTTTCCAGTCCCGATCTGGTCCCGGTCTCAGTCCCAGTTTCAGTCCTGGTCTGGTCCCGGTCTCAGTCCCAGTTTCAGTCTCGGTCTGGTCTCGGTCTCAGTCCTGGTCTGGTCCCGGTCTGGTCCCGATCTGGTCCCAGTCTCTGTCCCAGTCTCAGTTCTGGTCTGGTCCCGGTCTCAGTCCCAGTTTCAGTCTCGGTCTCAGTCCTGGTCTGATCCCGGTCTGGTCCCGGTTTCAGTCTCGGTCTGGTCTCGGTCTCAGTCCCAGTTTCAGTCCTGGTCTGGTCCCGGTCTGATCCCAGACTGGTCCCGGTCTCAGTCCTGGTCTGGTTCTGATCTCAGTCCCAGTCTCAATCACGATCTGGTCCTGGTCTGGTCCCGGACCTGGTTTAGTCCTGGTTCAGGTCGTTATCCTTTTTTTTTCCATTTTTCATTTAAACACAAAATCAAAAACGGTAAAAAACAAATCATTATCTGTTTTTTCATTTTGGTTTTGGAGACAAATAATGAAGAAAATATTAGTTTTTTCGTTTTCTTATTTTTGGTTTTATTTTGAAAAACAAATGAACGAATAATACACAGATTTTTCATTCACACGTTTATCTTTATTTTTTAGTCTTATGATTTATAAGACAATATATCAAAAAAAAAAAAGCAAACCTGAAAAGCAAACATTTATACTGCAAGTGCACTGTAACCCTCTCCACAGATCTGACCTGTAACTTGACCTGATGCCACTTCTTTGTCTCCATGAAGACGAAGGACTCCACGGACTGAACCAAGACTAAACCAGAACTAACCCAGGACTAACCTCGGACTTATTCCAGGACTGAAGAGGAGGACTAAACCAGAACTGAACCAGGACTCACTGTTGGGACAGTGTCAGCATCACCTCCAGTCTCTCTCTCTAAAACCTTCAAATCAGGCAAGAAATCTCAGGGTAATAATGGACTCAGACTTGAACTTTAACAGCCACATCAAGTCAATAACATCTGCAGCCTTTTACCATCTAAAAAACAGAGCAAAAATCAAAGGTTTACTGTCTAAAGCAGACTTGGAGAAACTTATCCATGCGTTTGTCTCCAGGAGGTTAGATACTGTAATGTTCTGCTCACTGGTCTCTCCAAACGAGCTGTGAGACGCTGCAGAACATCCAGAACATCCAGAACATCCAGAACATCCAGAACATCCACAACATCCAGAACATCCAGAACATCCACAATCCACAACATCCAGAACATCCACAAACATCCAGAACATCCAGAACATCCAGAACATCCAGAACATCCAGAACATCACAACATCCAGAACGCTGCAGCTCGGGTCCTGACTCGAACTAGGAAGTACGAGCACATAAGTCCTGGTCTCAGGTCTCTGCTCTGGCTCCTGTGGCTCAGAGACTTTAAAGCAGCTCTGTTTGTACAAGTGTCTCCATGGTCGAGCACCAAAGTCCATCTGTGACATGTTAGTGTCATATGAACCATCTCACACTCTGAGGAGCTCAGGGACCAACTCCTGCTGGTGCCCAGAGTCACGACTAAACAAGGGGAGTCAGAGTTTCAGGTTCATGCAGCTAAAACCTGGAACAGTCTGAACATGTGAGACAGACTCTTCTGTGACGCTGTTTAAATCCAGACTCAAAACATTTCTGTTTAACTGTGCAAATAACTGAAAGGTTTTCATTCCGCACTCTTCTCTCCAATTTATGTCTCTCTTTTTTAATTTTAATCTTCATGATTATTTATGTTTTGTTTTGTTTTTATTATGATTTTAATGTATTTCTTATTCTGTAAAGCATTTTGAATTACTTTGTGTATGAATTGTGCTGTACAAATAAACTTGCCTTGGAGGTGACTGTAAAATAGTAACTACAAACGTTTCTATTCTACGCTGAACTTGGCGGAAACCGGAAGAAAGCCACAACCACGGCGGACGACAATGCAAGAGAATTTTCAGATTCTGAAGGCTCGGAGTCTCGTCAATGGAGGGAAAAAGACAAATCCCTCCCTCCACTCTGCGCCTCGACACCCGTATGCTCCTTTCTACAGACGCTGTGCCACTGTCCCACAAAATTCCCTCCTCGTCCTTCTCCTTCTCAATCTCCTCCTTAAAACAAATCATCTGTACATGTTGTGGCTCGTGTGCTGTTCGTGACATCGTTGTGCCTCCAGTGCTCATGCGGGACACTTTGATTTGTTCTTATTTCGAGTTTGTGCCAAGAGAGAAACAATAATCATGTACACGACATAGAAACATCGTAAACAACAGACAATCACATTTCTGGAAAAGGAATGGGAAGAAAAAAAAAACTTATATGAACCCGCCCCTGTTCATGACAGTTTCAAAAATGATGTGGTCGTTTCTTCACGGAACTTAATATTTACATATAACAAAATGAATGACATATGATGCATACAAAATATACATTTAACCCCAAAACTTTTTTTCTTTTTTCATTTTGTACTGTTCACACACACACACACACACACACATATATAAACTGAATGTATGTTTGTGTGTCGTGACCAAACAGGTGTGTACATGTGTCTCTGCATCAGAAGGAGCGAGACACAAACAGTGGGTCAGTCTGTAACGAACCGAAGCACAAATGTGGATTTAACCAGGATTTGTAGAAGAAATTCCACACTTTCCGTTGCGTTGGGACAAGTGTGAGTCCATGTGCACAGTGGATAAAGCAGCACATATGTTTCTGTGTCCAGTGGGAAAAAGTTTTTCCAGGTGAGAGTCGCTCAATGTGGATGACGAGGCCCCGCCCCCCTCCCCCCGTACGCTGTCCTGGTTTTGACAAACACAAATCTGGTCACACTGACCTGTATTCACCTGAGTCATGTCTTTTAATCCAACACAAGTTGAACCACATCAGCGACACAAGAGCTGGAGTTTTATCTTCACTGAGTTTATGTAAATTAGTGATGTGGTTTTAAGTTTTGTTTCTGTGAGATTTGAACAAAACTGAATTAAACACATTATAATGTCAAACAGCTGATGTGGATCTAGAGTCGTTATGTTTATATGTCGTAAAGTTGAATTTATTTATGCAGATTAGTGCAGATAGTAATAATAATGATGATCATTTTAATATAAAAACGTTAATGATTAATCGATCGTTAATTCTTCTGACGATCGATTAAGAAAATTTCATCGAATGCCCGTCCCTAATATATATACACACACAAACACACATATATTTATATATATATATTTATATATATATATTTATATCTATATATAAAACCCATTCCACAGACTGACCACACACACACACACACAGATCCCATTCATTCATAGTGCACTTCTTATGTACTGAACAGTTTTTTAATATTTAATGGCAGTATATTTTAGTTTACTTTATACAAAAGCAAAGCAGTGTAGAATGTCACTAAATTAAAGAATTTAAATTATTTTGATTTGAAAAACAAGTCGTTTGTATGATCCAGATAACCAACCTTCTGCACACAAAAGTAGAAGAAGTAACTTTGGGGGGTTTAAAGTTCACACACACGTCACATTTAACTGGAAATGTGAACGAGCTCGCAAGAAAATCTGATTTCACAAAAAAATCTGAGTTGAGCTTTAAGCCCTGCAGTCTGAACGAAGTCTTAATGTCACAGTGTGGAACATCCCGATGAAAAACCACCAGGAAAGTTACACAGCGCATCTTCATAGCTCCAAAAACTCTAAAAAATATAGTCCCTTTAGAAATATAGTCCCCAAAATATACAGCGTGAGACAAGCGAGTTTGTGGAGTTACATTTTATTGAAGTGTCTGTGCGTCGTTATGGCTCCTCAAACCGAACGTTATTCTCGTTTTTCACTTGAGTCTATCTCAGATCCTGAAAAATCCTTTCCTTAACACAGCTTCCCCGTCGTCTCTCATCCATTTCACCCCGGTGATAAAAGTGTCAAACGCGCATCAGAAACGTGAGCGCGGGAAACTTCATAAAGCCGTATATTTGTTGTATTTTTGGGGGTTTTGTGGATTTACGGCGGCGCTCGGGTCCCATCTCTCACTCCGTCCCATTCATTTCCTGTTCGCTGCGGCGTTTTCTATTAGTTTGACTGAGGTAAACAGAGATGTCATCGCCGGGGCTGAGTTTGAACAGAGGAAATAAAAGAACATCGACACTAAAGCTGCACTGTGGAACTTCTCGGTCATCATTTCCATGCTTATACACAGTACAGCATTAAACGTATGTATTTTTGTGAACATATATTCAAATAAAAGTGGTTTTAATGCTCAAAAATACCCTACGCCCCTTCAAGACCGAGACAAGACCGAGTCCAAACGCCTTCAAGACCGAGACAAGACCGAGTCCAAACGCCTTCGAGACCGAGACAAGACCGAGTCCAAACGCCTTCAAGACCGAGACAAGACCGAGACAAGACCGAGACAAGACCGAGTCCAAACGCCTTCAAGACCGAGACAAGACCGAGTCCAAACGCCTTCAAGACCGAGACAAGACCGAGACAAGACCGAGACAAGACCGAGACCAGAGACCGAGACAAGACGAGACAAGACGAGACAAGACCGAGACAAGACCGAGTCCAAACGCCTTCAAGACCGAGACAAGACCGAGTCCAAACGCCTTCAAGACCGAGACAAGACCGAGTCCAAACGCCTTCGAGACCGAGACAAGACCGAGTCCAAACGCCTTCAAGACCGAGACAAGACCGAGTCCAAACGCCTT